GATGAAAACAGTGACGAGCTTAGAAGGATACAGTTAGAACCAATATAATGACAACACAGATATCACGATGAGAATAACAATAATACCTCAGAAAATAAAAACTTTCATATTCAGCTCGTTTACAATATAGAAATTTAGACATGCTTTCAAGTTCACAATTAAAGACCAACACTGATAAGAGCATGTCAAGTATAGCTAGCATGAGGAATGATACATATCTATGCCTACATGCCAAATATGCATGTCAAAAGTACGGTATCACAGTGATATTTCCAGTTACTCACACTCTCAGAGTGCTCAATCTGTCTATCTCAAATTCCCACTCATCACACACAATCACTCAGCACTATGAGTGCTTGGCATCAATGCCCTTCACCAAAGCACATGTGTATAAATTATTGTGCATGCGCTCATTGTTGGTATGTCAGACTCCGGAGGAGCGGATCTTGCCCATGCGCTAATATAAAGCCTATAAGACCTACTGCATCGTACAGCCCGATCCACAATAATAAATAAGCCAATAAGGCCTGGTGCGGCGTGTTGCCCGTTCCACAACAACACTCTCAACTCGACCCTTAGGCCCAATTCAGTCATCAAATCTCTCAAGTCTTAAGGGCTCACAATTTTATACTGCTTAGCTCAAACAATATATATATGTAATGTAACAGTAAATGATAACGGAGATTGAGATATGATATCCAAATAAAGCATCATGATTGGGCACATAATTGCAATTAAAGCCGATAACATAAAACAACAGAAATAATCTCACTATGCCTCAATTGAATAAGTACATAAACATATTTTCTAACATGATTTACAATTTAATTACTCTAACAAGTAAGGATTTCACGGATAGAACAAGACTTGATAACAACACAGTCCTAAAGAACAAGCGAATCATGATTACCACGGCGCACGCCCACACGTCTGTCACTTAGCATGTGTATCATCCCAACACAAATCATATACACATTTTCTAGGGATTCATACCCTCGGTTCCAAGTTTAAAAGTGCTACTTACCTCAAAACATACAAATCACAACTCCAACAAGCCCTTCCCACGCGTATCGGCCACCAAACGACTCGAATCTAGTTACAAACAACTCAATATCAACAAATAATGTTGTAGGAAATAACTTCAAACAATAAAGCTTCGATCTTTATCAAAATCAAAAAGTCAACTTCGGGCCACGCCTCAGAACCTGACAAAATTCACAAAATACAAACACCCATTCAATTATGAGTCCAACCATACCAAAATTATCTAATTCCAACCACAAATCGACCTTCAAACTTTCATTTTTCATTTTTGAAAAGTTTCCCCCAAAATCCTCTTTTCTTCACTTTAATTCACTAAATAAATGACAAAAATAAGGATAGAATCAAGATAAATGAACAAATCCGAATCAACAACTTTTACCCCGATCCAAGACGTGAAGATTCCCCTAAAATCGCTGAAAACCGAGCTCTACAACTCAAAACGTGAAATAATACTCTAACCCTCGATTTAAGATTTTAAACATTCTGTGGATGATTACACATCGCAATCGTAAAAAATCCTTCTCGATCGCAAAGAACAACCATCATTAGTAACAAAAACCTTCTATGTGAACACGCTCACAAGGTCGCAAACGCTGTGACCAATCACCCAAACCTACAGGATCGTAGACAGCCTCACGCGATCGCGATGAACAACCGTCTGAAAATCCCAGGCCTCTCCTTCTTTCTTCGCTAATGCGTCCATCCACCCGCATTCGCGTTTCACAAAAACTTAGACCTTCGCGATCGCGTCCACAACCTCGTGAATGCATAGAACAATTGCCCAGCTGCCATAAAAGACTCTTCGCGATAGCATCCCTCTTCCCGCGATCGTGAAAGAGGAAACCATAAGCACAGATATCAATTATCCAACAAAGTCCAAAATGACTCCGAACATGATCCAAATTACACCCGGGGCCCCATCCAAACATACCAACAATGCCTAAACACGATACGAACTTAGTCAAAGCCTCATCACATCAAACAACATCGAAATCCCAAATCGCACCTCAATTCAAGCCTAATGAACTATTGAACTTCCAACTTCTAAAACCAATGCCGAAACATACCAAACTAACTCCGATTGACCTCAAATTTTGCACACAAGTCATAGATGACACAACGGATCTATTTCAACTTCCGGAACCAAAATCCAAGCCCGTTACAAAGTCAACTCTCGATCAAACTTCTCAACGTTCCAAACCTTCAACTTTCCTACACCAATTCAAGCCATAACGACTTACGGACCTCCAAATCAATATTCGGACATACTTCTAAGTCCAAAATCACCTTACGAAGCTATCGAAACTATCAAGGTTAAAAGGTAACCCCAAAAAAAGTAATAACTTTTCTGCAATTTTTTGACGTCTCTTAGCACTTTCCACATTAGTCTCACCAACACCATTTACGTACCTTCAAACTCTCCGTTCAAGAATCAAATTATCCTTCTCTTAGTTGTGCTCATTTCAAATTTTAGGCCTCTCGTTTTCGGGTTTAATTTTTATACATATACAGCTTAAAGAATTTTTATACTATTATCATACTTGTGACTTTTCATAGCAAGATTGAAAACTATCTGCTATAACCAATTAAACTATACTGTATAAAGATGATAAAAATATTTATATTGTCCATATATTAAATTGATCCGTTATATCATCTTTTCCACCCCTTCTATCAAAATTTAATGTGTTCTTCAAGTATGGTATATGCTTGAATATGTCAACTTACTGTAACCCTTCTTCTATTTGGACTTAAGAACGGCGATATGAAAAAACTCACACATGCAGAGTTATCTTTTACACTAATAAAAATGACCTACAGCATTTTAAAAAAAAAAGGGGAGGGAGGGGAGATGAAGGTATGAACACGATATTAACAGCTAATTCAGCAGTCTTACCGAAGTTCATAGCTTAGAGAACAAATAAAAGCACTTGGAACGATAGGCAAAATTTGCCAAAGATAATGTGCGGTAATCACAGCCCTAAACCAGGAAAAGCCAAGTCAAACTACTACGTAACAACTCTTTCAATAAACTTGAAACATTGTGCATCCGAGATTTTGGATACCGATGCTAAGCAGATTTTAGCATCAAAACATTGCTCTTTTAGCAACATAAGCATAAGCATCATTATGACTTTTATGCTAGAAGCGCAACAAAATACGTGAGCGTGCACAGAGCGCGCGCGCACACATCAAAATTTATATGCCCATGGGACAAACCTTAGAACTATATCCAGCAACAAAATTGTAGACAAGGTTTGCTTTTGTTCTCATAGTCTAAGTACAACAACAACAACAACGACAACAATCGCAGTGTAATCTAACAAGTGGAGTCTGGGGAAGGTAATGTGTACGCAGACCTTACCCCTACCTTATAAAGGCAGAGAGCTTGTTTCCGATAGACCCTCAGTAATGAGCTTAAAAGTTGTTCAACAAAAACATGCTAGGAGTAATAAAAACCACTAAAGTAGGATCCAGAATTCATTGAAGGGGGTCAGCATCTGATTATTAGTAAATCACATATGTGAATATTAGAACAAAAATAAAATCACAGTTACAGTAGAAGATGTATGTTTCTTCTTTGGAGTTTCTATTGTACCCTATTTTCAGATAATCTCTTAGACTGCATGATAAAACTTCGCTTGAACCTTCTGACATTCATCATAAATCATCACTGCAATCTGATTGAATACAAAGTATTAGAATGAACCTATGCATGACTTAGTCAGCAAGAACTACAATGACAAAAGGCAAATAATACATATGCTAAAGCTCAGTCCCTCAGACTAGCCTATTCATTTAAGGTTATCTAAGGAATTAATTCTTCAGCAATAAAAAGGGCAGCCCGGTGTACAAGGCATCCCGCGTTCACACAGGATCCGGAGAAGGGCCGCACCCCTTGGGGTGTAATGCAGCCAGCCTACTCTAATGCAAGCATTAGTGGCTGTTTTCACGGCTCGAACCCGTGACCTATAGGTGATAGGTCACACGGAAACAACTTTACTATTGCTCCAAAGCCCCCCTTCAATCATACTGCTAAATCGTTCACAAAATCTACAGGAAGTAATACTTTCTGATCAATCGATAATCAGACAAGTACAGCAAATCACAATAAAAGCATCACGCGCAGTCTGTATTTAATCTGAAAATGGAAAAATATTTTGTTTAAGGATGATATTGTTCCCATACTCGTGGAAGACTGGTAGCCATGTGTTGGAATTGTTCCGATTTCATCAGGTTCACAGTTTACTAAAGTTTCAAACTCTAGTTCTCAGCAGAAGTTCAATTCTTATGTTATATTGGCCCTCTTTTATGGTCACTGTAAGTTGATATACCAGGACTTCAACTTGTACAAAAATTTCCTTTTTAACTTCAGTTGTCCAAAAGCAAACAAGAAAACAAGCATACAATGTTAAGACACTATCAAATGAAATCATCTCCCCTCTATTCCCAGCAAAAAGAGGAAAAATAATTGAGATAGGAGAAAAATTTTGCACTTTGGGGATCATCTTCCATTTCAATGCCACTTAAATGTGTCTCTCAGTCCAGTGGATTAAAAGATTTTAGACGGATACAAGAGACAAAGATGCAACAATCAAGTGGTTTACGAATACTACAAAAAACACGCAACTAAATATCTTCACTAGCAAACATATACTCTTCACAAAGTTTCATTCTTCAGGCTTGTCTAAGAACAATCGAGATCACACAAAGACATGAATACTTGTGGTTGTCCACTCGGGTCCCATTTAAGTTATTCATGATACAAATTTTTCAGAAGTAATTTGGCGATATAAAATGCTAGATGACATCATTAGATTCTCTAGAACAATTCCAGGAAACTAAAATCTGGTAATTATATTGCTGTATTTAACACCATAATTGAACAGAAATGCAATAAAATTCTGGTTTCAATTCAAGCTTTGGCCCTTACATAATCTATAAGGACAATGAGCTAACTTAGGACTTCAAAATGTAAATACCATTGATAATGATAATATACTTCAATAGAAGCCAGAATTCATAGAAAGGGAAAGAGTCCCATGTTCTTATTCAGTACTCTAGTATTTATTCTCTTAGACCGCTTGGACATAAAGCTTCACTTGAACTCTTTGACATTCATACATCATCCTTGCAATCTGATTAAATACCCAGTATTAGACTGTCATTTACATCTTAGCAACTACAATTGTAAAGGCAAAATGTATATGCTAAACAACTTTCGATCCGACAAACTATCTGATTCAATTTTCTCGAGGCTTATTATGGAATTAACTCATCAACAATCAATATCAGCTGCATGATTCACAAATCTGCAAGAAATATGTATTTCTGCGTCAATGGACAATCAGACAGGTACAACAAATACATCAATTGCACATATAAAGGCTCAACGTCATGTCAATGTATATTGATATCTTGGTGAATAACATATCACTCCTTTGGTAAACTCAACCCATAAGCATTTAAAGAGTCTGATTGAGAGTTATATTACAAGAATTTCAGCCACTGGAAGTTTTTGTTGTAGACTAATAAGACAGACGAATGAAAGGCAACATAATACAATCTCAAATCAAATTCTGACTCATCCCCTGACAAAACTCTAATACTAGACAAAGGTCACTGTATTTTTAATATTGACAGTAGAGCCCATCTTGTGCCAAAAACAACCATATGACATGGTTGGTTCCGTTGTAAACACGTTAACCTAATGTTAACAAGTTATACTAGGTATGTGTATTGGCAGAAGGTGATCTTTGTGGTCACATTCTCATATTTTATGGTGAAACTCCATTTATGTGCTTGGATAAATTATTGGTTGGGTACACAGCATATGGATGAATTAAGTTACTTTGACCAAAGTCGAATAACTATCCAATTACATTGATGAATCATACATGAATCCATTACGTTAATGTAACTATTAGCTACATTCAGGATTCAACATGAATCCATTAAATTAATGAATGTAACCTTCTAGATTTATTCATGAATTCTTAATATATTAATGAATGTTTTCCCCTATAGTAGGTACATACACATGGAAAAAATACATTAAATACAAGGAATAATTATGTATTTGGATGATAGTTCATTTAATCAAGAGGAAAAATCTATTCGCCTATTTATATGGCTATTGATGGCTTTGCCATATCAAATGACATTCCAAACATATATAAAGGGGTCTTGGTCCCGCTCTACACTCCCACCTAAGTTTGTAGTATTTCATCAATCATCATAACATATAAAGAAAAAGAGATGTAGAGAATGAAAATTGGGACTTGAGTTAGAACCTAAGAACTACCATCAAGTAACAAGACAAGTTAATCTCAAGTCCACATGTGTTTAATCTCATGTAAGCACGTGATTTTTGCCCTATATAAGAATTACTCCCAAAAATTCCAAAAAAAAAAATAAAACAATTTTTTGATTGTTTGCAATTGTTGTGAATTTTGTGTTATTTTCCTTGTATTATTTACATTTTTGTCTGTGCATGTTTATTTGCTAAATTAATAAAAAATACAAAAATATGTCGCATTTGCATTTAAGATTTAGGTTTGCAATTATGAGTAATTAAGTTTGTTTTACAAGAATGAAAATTACAAAAATAGGCATCTTTTGCATTTTTAGCATTTAATGTCCAAATTGTGTGATTTTATTTTTATTGATGTTTAATTTTGGGTGATAATTATTATTTAGGAGTTAATTAGTATTTTAAGATAATTTTGGTTTTTATAATTTAATTTTAGCATTTTAGTTTTATTAATAAGTAAAAGAAAAGAAAACAAAAAATAGAAGAAAATCGGAATTAGGCCTCCTCTTCAATTCTAAATTTAANTTGCCCCGTCTTCATCTTCTTCTTCTTCACTTCTGCTCCAAACAACCACCCTCTCATAGCTGCCCTTCTGCATCTTCTTCGTCATGTTGTTGCTTCACCCACAGCCCGTCGAGCCCCAGCCAGTAGCCATGGATGAACCACCATGAACGACCATCGAGCTCCAGCTCAAAACCACCATCCCATGGCTGCCTTTTCCTTCTGCTTCGCTCTCTTCTTCGTCGGAGCAACCAGCTCCCTCCCGTCATTCCACCCACCAAACCAGCGACCACCAGAAACAGCCTCCTCACGTCCACCATGACCACGTCGTCACAACCCCAGTTCCGCCTCACGACCAGCGCAGCCAGTCCGCCATGGCCGCTGCTTTCTTCTTCTCCGTCAGTCGCTGCACATCACGCACACACACAGTCCGTCTTCATCTTCCCCAAACGACCCCTTCAACACCCAAGACAAACCAACCGTGGCTGCTTCCTCATCTCACGACCTCACAACAACCAGCAGCCTTCTTCTCCATTCTCACGCCACCAGCTTGCTTCGTCGTCAAGCAAACCAGTCCATCGACCACGATGTCCGTCACACCCTCCGTTCCAGTCAGCTCACATTTGAACACTAGGTCACCAACAGTAGTGGTACCATGAAGCTTTTCAAGATGTTAAAGACAGTGTTCGATCGGATGTTCGTCAAACGCTTCATTCTCGCGCTGAGGATCCATTTCAAGTCCCTCTTGAAGTGAATATAGTTCTTGTTGGTTTTAATGGCGACGGGGGGCTACAGGTGCGCATGAAGGGTTCTAAGCTGAATCGATCTCTTCTGTTGGTTTTTGAGGTTAGGTCTTGATTAAAGTTTTAATGACACTTCTTTGTTTGATTAGTCAATTTCATATTTTTGTACAAACAGTGACTATTCCTATAAATGTTTGCTAGCATTTTGGTTCAAATAGTTTCATTTTTGTGTATTGTTTGCTTCCCTGCTCTTGGTTGTTCATCATATTGTTTGGTTCCCTGCTCGTTCATGTTGTCTAAGTTAATTGTGATTTTGTTCCCAATAGAGTTAGTTTATTCCCTTTGTATATGTGTGAATCAATTTCGACCTTACTAGTTCAATACAATGGTTCTGAATCATTGAATCTTTTATCTTGGTTGTAATGTAGTTTGATCTAGTTTGAGTTCAATTGATGATTGTGTTTAGTGAGTTTGTTTATTCAGAGTTTGTCTGTTAATTGGATAATTGATTAGATGAATTGGTTATAGTTGATGGGGGTAGAATGGTAAATGGCAGTATTTCCAGGGGGTAAAATGGTAATTTCAGTAATTTCAGAGGGGTATTTTTGGAATTGAAAATTTGAACAATTATTTAATCTGAGTGTTCCGTCCACTAGGTACTAATAATATTAAATTAATACATTTTTTAATACGTAGTGGGGGACAAGACATAATGGTGGGGAATTAATACATTGTTTAATATAGTGGGGGACAAAGCATGCGGTAGTGGGGAATAATGGAATTAATTAAAGAAAATATATGGGTTAGTGGGTTAATACATTGTTTAATATAGTGGGGGACAAGACATAATGGAGTGGGAATAATGTATTTATTTAATATAGTGGGGGACAAAATATGTAGGCATGGGGAACAGGGAATTAAATAAGAAAAACATTAAGTAGTGGGGGCAAGGCATGCAATTATGGGAATATTTCGGGTTAGTGGTTCAAGACAAGAGTCTTGGTTATAAATAGAGTCATTTTTACACAGTGTAAGAGGAGGGATAGAGGAAAAAGTTGAGAGAGTTGACTGAATTTTGAGAAATCAGAATTTGAGAGCAAAAAGAGAAAAACAAGCTGAACTTTTACTTGAATAATTTCAGGTTGCTTTTCCTTGAGTGTTATTCAAAAATCAGTAAACTACTGCGTCTTGTATCCGTCTCTCTTCTGCTTTGACTGCGATTGCATTCTGGTACTGCTGGTTTTCAATCTGTTACTGGGTTATTCTACTG